GTCCCTCTGGGTAGCTGGCTGTGACCAAGCAGTGACCACAACCTTGCCCCTTGTCAGCTCTACTATACACTTGGGAATTCTGATCATTCACATAAACTTACAGGACCATTGTCTGCCAACACTATATATGTTCTTGGATACAATCCCCATTTTATGGACATACCTAATCGTTTAGCCTGTCCACCCATCTATCCACCCATATACCCATGTTTGCCTTCACTGACAACGCAGTACTGTATGTGCAAAAGGGTTCATATTCACATACATAACTTTTTAAAAAACTAACCTATAAATGACAGGACCAGAAAGTCATCCCTTGGCAACTCTTAATAAAATACTCCAGGCTACATTCATCAAAAAATGCTACATTAGGTAAATGGTTGATGGGGAATTTAATGGTGCAGTACAACCCAAAACTCACTAATCAATCTCACCATCACTAGAAGAGAGATGTGGCACAGGATATATGGCAACAGAGAAGTACACAATACCATTTAGGAAGGACTCTCTTCTAAGAAAATCTGAACCTGAATCCAACCAAACCTCCCTACCTTGATGTTGTTTTTGTCGTTATGTGCCGTGGAGTCGGATCCGGCTCACAGCAACCACTCATTGAGTTTCCGAGGCTGTATCACTATAGAAGTAGATTGCCCAACCTTCCTTCTGAGGAGTGGCTGGGGGGTTTGAACCGTCAGCCTTCTGGTTAGCAGTCAAATGCCTTAAGCACTACACTACCAGAGCTCCCCCTACCTTGATGAGTATACATTAATTATCAGTTTACAGGAAATATAGAGAAAGAACAAGTTAAACAAGAAATCAGGCAAATTCAAAATATGGTATAGGACAAATTACCCAGTTTCTCTAACAAATCAAGAATTAAAAAAATAAATCAAAGGAAGACTGTTACAGAATAAAAGAAATCTAACAGATACAACACACCTGGGGAGAAAAGGATTGGCAGCCAGTTAGCAATCTATTGTCTCCTTCTACTGGTCACTTCCAGAAAGACAGACATGACTGAGTCAAATCCCCTGGTGAGCATGCTAATGATAGACTTTCTGTCAAACACATCCTAGCAGGATGTAACGAATCTGTCTTGGTCATTTATTATAAATAAATCTACAATGTATACATTCATGGAGCATGACCCCTGGAAAATGTCACATAAGCTATATAATTAAAGGGATATGAAAGGGAGATGTTCAGTAACTACAATAGCTCCCTTTTGTGTAATGATGATCCACATCTATCACTGGAGACCTCGTGGTACATTCAGGCCAGGGCACATTCTTGTGTAGCAAGAAAAGACCTGGGGACCAGTGTATGTAGTTCCAGATTCCTCCAGGTTTACATGTGTCTTATGGTTACCTGGATCCTTAAAATTATTAGTAAAGTTTGATCCTGTATAAAACTGTTGAGTCAAATGAGTCTGACACATATGTGTTTCTAATGTTAAAGAATTCATATAGTCTTTATATTCTTGTTGAATTCATGAACACCAGGTAAGTGAGCCTCATAGTCAGGGGTTGGTAAGTAACTTCAACCTTCAATACAAATATAATATAGAGCATTATGTAAAAACAGTTTTTAAAGTACAGTTTGCTAAAACAAACATTCACTCTCAAGGGTACAGTCAATAGGTCTTTAAACTATTAAAACCAATCTTATTAAACTAGTAAAACCAATATTAAGACCAAAACTAATACACGTGAGTGCTTTGCCCTTCTTAATGAACATACTTAAAGACAACATTGTCATGACAACATAGAGAATGAACAGAGTTTTAGGTTATATTCTTTTTTTGATAGCTATATATAAATCTGGGAGCCCTGGTAGCATAGTGCCTAAGGCACTAGACTGCTAACCAGCAGGTTGGCAGTTCAAACCCACCAGCCCTCCACAGAAGGAAGATGGGGCAATCTACTTCTGTAGTGATACTGCCTCGGAAACCCAAGGAGGGGTTGCTATGAGTCAGGTCCGATTTAATGGCACATAGCAACAACAACAACATACATAAATCTCATAAACCTTTCTATCTAAAAATGGCTACTTATAAAAAAAAATTAATAGACAACTAACTATAGTTTCTCTGAAGAATTCCCAATAAAAAAAGATACCTACTCTTGTTTTAACTTTAATTTTAATCAAAGCTGAATTAAAGATTTTGGGACTAATAAAATTTATTTCCACAATGCAGAGACAGACAGAAGGCCCACAAAGGACTTGCAGCTCGGTAAGCAGACAAACCAGCATATGTCCCATTTGGCTGGAAAGAACAATGCAATGGAAGCCAATATAGAAAGAGATGACAGCACCAGAATCAAAGTGAATTGCACATCTCAGAAGATTAACAAGGGGCGGGGGGAGAGTCTGACTAATACAGACTACTGAAAGGAAGCACATAGCCAAGAACTAACACCAACTTTTCACACTTTGACACTCTTTAAGTTGCTACAGAAGATGTGTAACACCTCAGGGAGAAATGAGGGAAAAGCCCTGAAATGAGTTTAAATCTTCAATGACTCTGTGTATGTATGTGTATGTGTGTGTGTGTGTGTGTGTGTGTGTTGGGGGGGCAGTAACTGAAATTACCTGGAATTAACTGACTAGATTACACTGTCTATTGACAGACAGATTGGGGCCAATACAGAAGCAGTTCAGAGTCCTTGTCTTGTAGCAGGAACTACCTGGTCATCTAGATTGCTTATTGTAAATAAACCAGGACCTTAAGTCCACGTTTATCTCAAGTATTAATATTATATTACTAAATAGTAGTATATTTAAGTTGTTTAACACAGCACACAAATGGATAAGACATTTCCATACCTTCTGCATGATTTTTCTTGCCCACCTCAACTTTAAAATGTACCACTGTGCTGCAGGAAAAGAACAACGAGCTGCCCGGAAAAGCAAGAGAATACGCTGAAGGATCCCAGACACCTTTTGGCGATAATCTTTTTCAGTTTTTAAAAGAAGATCGTCACTATCTTCCTAAGGAAAAAAATAAAACAATAAATTTTATTATCTAGTAATACGGAACTTAAAAACATTAAAGTGAAATTAAAGATGTTGTTAGTTGCCATCAAGTTGATTTTGACCACTTCCAGTAAGATGGAGGAATAGGCAGACAAGTGACACAGACCCTCTTCAACAAAGAAAAGAAAAACCAATTGACAGAGCTACAGAAGATAATCCTGGAGCCCTGAGCTTTGAAAGAAACTATACAGAAGTGTATTAGGCACCAACTAGTGGCAAAACCTGAATGAAAACAGTGAGTAAAGAAACAGTTGAAGCTGCGGACTGTCAGCTACTCTGACAAGACCAACAGCCTGAATATTTCCAAGTGGTGTTGGGACCTGAGAACTGACCTAAAGATCAGCTGTGGTCACCAAGGGCTGCAAGGACAACTGCGCTGGTGGCCTATAACTAGGAAGGGAAACAGCAAGGAGGGAGACAACCTGAGCTGTTGACTTTTGGGTATCCAGAGGGCGAGCCATTTTGATTATTTACACACAGCAGCCATCGTGAATATTTAAAGTAGCCGAGGGTGCAGCCATTTGAATCTTTACAAGTGACAACCATTTTGGATTTTAAAGTGATAGCATTCTCTGGGCCTATAAGTTCATGTGAATGATCAGAATTCCCAGGTGTATAGTAGAGCTGACAAGGGGCAAGGTTATGGTCATTGAT